ACCCATTTGTCTTTCCCGAGTTGAGTCCCTCTGTCTAGGCCAAACCTGACTGACCCTCAGCCTACGACCACATTTGTAACTGTCCCCAGGAAAGAAAATGGCCAGTAATCTCAGCTAACCTAGGAAGAGAACTTCCCTCTGAAATTTTAATTTAGTTTTTGCTTCCTAGTCTTCCAATGTCTTTGAAAGTATATATTTTTGCAATTTATCTCATTTCATCTAGTTATTACAGAAGTCAGTAGCCTCCCACAACATACTACTGAAAAGCAGAAGTTCCCACTAGTCCAAATTAATTCTACAAATAATTTTCAACATAGAATAGGAAGGCTTTTCCCAATATTTTCTATTTCGTATTTTACTGACATGATTTTTATCTAGTTCAATTTTTCCATGAAATTTTACAAAAATTTGATTTGTTAATCAGCATTTTGACCATATGAAATTACATCATTCATAGCATCTGCCATGTGAGTTTTCATCTGCGACTATAGTTTCTACCAAGTTTAATTTTACCCATTCAAATTTTGCAGACCTAAATTTAATCAAGAAGATTCCATTCTTTAGTCAAGTTTTAGGCTTTAATATATTTGACCAAGTGCAGTTTTAGATCCTGTAATTTCTATTCTACATTGATTATTTTCACCAGGAATATCCATGAAAAATTCAATAAGAGACTAATGATATGTACTTAAGTCTTGCTTAATTTCTAAGAAAATTGTGTGCAATCCTCCTCAAATAGTCCAGAACTTTTTAGCATCTTGAATTGGCCAAGTGCATGTGTAACAAATTTCTTTTACAAGTCTCAATATATTTAGAAATAGAGCCTGGTGTTGGCAGTGCAAAGAGCAAAAGGACAAAATTGGAGTAGTAGTCCTGTACTGAACAGCAGGGTCAACACGCCTTGCATCATGATTGGCACAGGAAGACCCTAGGAACTGAAACAGCTCTAAGAGCTGGAGATGAATTCATCTCAACTTGCTTTAGACCCATATAGAAGGTTTTCCAAGCACTTTGAGCAGTGAGATGCTTCACTCTGCTTTCCCAGCCCAGCCCCTGAGCCTCTACATGACTCTGCTCTTCCCTCCTCTCTACCAAAGAGCTTCCTCTGATGAATCAGGATCATCCTACACACTCGCCACCTCAGATCTCCCAGAGTCCATTATGGCAGTCCTGGTCCCTCTCTCTCTATCATGACCTTTCCACTTTAATCCTCTCACCCTTTTTGATATGATGTCTGGGTTCAAAGTTCTGAGAGAAGAAATGGACTAGCCAGCCCAGTGTAGTCTGAAGGCTCCACGGAGCCAGGTTCAGGAAATGTTGCTCAGAAACGTCTCTAACCCAGTATTTCTCGGTGTGATCTGCAGACCACCTTTGGGTCTGAGAATCACCTTTCTATCTTCCACAGCCGTCTGTCTTTCTCCTGAGTTATGCTTCCCTCAGCCATTGGGGAAACCGGGCAAGAGGCTGCCTCCCAGCAGTCCTCCCCACCCTGTACCAACAATAACAACAACAACAACAATAACAACAAAGCATCCTGGTGTAACTTAAAAAGAGCCAGTGTCAGATCAGTCTGGGCTCAAATCCCAGTTCCACCACCTACAAACTGGTCCTGAGTGAGTTCCTAAATTCTCTAAGTCTTAGTTTCCCTAGCTATTTGATGAAAGAGTTATATCCACCTTACAGAAAGAAATGACATAATATAGAGAGCCTGGGACAGAGTAAGTCAAGTTCCTTTTCTTCTGAGGGAAAGTCCATGGTGTCACCTTCACACACAGAGAGGCTAGCTCAGTTATAGTGTGCGGCCAGAACCAAGCAAAACTCATGAGATGAACCCAGGAAAGAAATGAATGGATTTGCCAGCAAGAGATGTTGTCATTTTTTTCCTCCCTGCCAAGCCTGATTTTCCCAGAGATACTGCGTTTCTTTGGATAACTCAGCAACCACTCCATCCAGATATAGTCTCTGAGGCAGGCAACATGTTTACAGTCAAAATGCTCACTTCCACTTCAAGTTTCCAATCCCCTGCTGCTACTTTCTGCAAACTTAATTAATTAGTTGCAGCTAACATTTGTTCAACCTCATGCAGCAATGGGAGACTGAAGGAAACGAGCTCTCATAAATTAAAAACATTTCAAAATATTGTCTTCTCCCAAGAAAACATTTCTTTCTTTCTTTTTTTTTAAAATTCACACTCCATTTGGATAACTTCAAGGTTTCAAAAGAAAACAAACAAGGGCATTCCAATTAATGTTGATCGTCTTTAACTATTTCACAGCCATGGATCTATGTTACCACTCATTATCCTAAGCATTGTCATCCCTTTAATCGATATGCAAGGGGTCCTCTACCTATTTCCTTTGCGATGCTTAGGTAATTACATCACATTTGGTCCTGGTGTGAAAATGCCTGCCACACACTCCATCTGTCAGCAGATTAAGATGTGCCTAAACCCTAAGTGATGATGTTGTTCTAGAAATTAAAAGTTCAAGTGCCATATTGAAGGCAAGCAGGTGCAATAATTTTTTTTTTTTTTTTTTTTTTTTTTTGCTGATTTGGTTGTTTTACTACTGAGACATAGGTACATTGACTCTAAATTCTAGGAAGAGTGGCTTGGAAATTGTCCTGCAAACTAATGTCACCTTGTCCCAACAGATTAATCCAAAGGTTTCTTATTAGAACATTCTGATCTGCAGGCCTACCAGCTACACGTGGAGTATGTGTAACCTTTGGGAGGAAGCTTCTCCAGTGACCAGTGAGTATGAGACAGTATCCTAATTGCGACTCATCCAATACCTGCCATGATTTTGGTGTAGCATTTTCTTACAGAAAAAGGCTCCACAATATTGGCTCTGTCTATAGTGTGTGATTGGTGAGGCACTCTGTACAATTCTATGCAAACGTAAATTGCTGCTATTGTTGCTGCTGTTATGAATAACACGGTAGCAAGAACCTGGAGTTTAGGGACCTGAGTATTAACGGCAGCTTTTCTCACAAACTGATTGAGTCATTGCCTTAGGGTACAAAAGAGAGCGGGCCAGGGTGGTGAACAGTGACATAGTATGAGCAGTGACAAGTGGAAGACAATTTCGGGGGACGCGTCTATGGGTTTTGTGAGACTCTTGGCACGGCCGTGACTATGTGGAATTATCACCAACTTCTTTTTCATTGTATTTTCATATGTGCTGATAATAATTATAAGATTCAAAAATATGTCTCAAACAGTTTTTTGAGGATCACTGGTTGGTTATGTAACAGAAGTAGAATCGAACAAAAGGAGAAACTTAAGTATGCATAACTTCCCTGGTCAGGGTGGCTCAGTTGGTTGGAGCATCGTCCCATAACTGAAGGGTTGTGGGTTTGATTCCTGGCCGGGGCACACACCTGGGTTATGGGTGCAGTCCCCAGTCAGGGCGTACATGATTCTCCTGTCTAGATGCGAACAGCAGGCAACCAAGCCGATGCTTCTCTCTCACATTGATGTTTCTCTCTCTCTTCTTCTCTCTCTAAAAGCCATGAAAAAATGTCCTTGAGTGAGGAGTAAAAAAAAAGAATGCATAAACTAAACCCCTAATCACTAAGTCAGTACCTTGCTTTTTAAGAAATGTGAGGGTGTGAAAGTTGTCAGAGATTCATGTCAGCACTAGAAAACAAATCAAAACTACTGTAACAATAGAAAAACCTTGGTTTAGTTTTGTGTAATACCAATAGTTATTATATAAAAATAGCTCCGCTTATACCTAACTATAATAGACATGGTAATTAGCATAATATTATGTATCAGATTATTTTTATTATAATATTTATTTCTTTGCTCAGTTTTAACATCTTGCTTGTGTGTGCTCAGAGACTGATAGAGCAAATCTCTCTCTCTACATGTATAATATATTCATATACATATGTATATATTATTTTTCAAATAGAGACAAAGATATAGAAATATATTGGGTTGGCCAAAAAGTCCATTTGGTATCTTCTATAAGATGGCTCTAGTAATGCTTCGTTGTCTTTAACTTCATTCGAAACAGTTTCGTTAGATTGTATTGTGGCAGCTGTCATATCAATGTACATTAAAAAAATATCAAAATTGGTGACTTTTTATAGCCATTTTAATATTGAAAATAAGCAACATTTTCAGCATATTATGCTTTATATTCCTAGACGGTAAAACACAACTAAAATACAAAAAAAGATTTGTATAGTGTCTGGAGAATGTGCTGTGACAGATCGAACGTGTCAAAAGTGGTGTGTGAAGTTTTGTGCTGGGGATTTCTTGCTGGACTTTTCTTGCTGGGTGATGCTCCACTGTCAGGTAGACCGGTCGAAGTTGATAGTAATCAAATCGAGACACTAATTGAGAACAAGAGCCAACATACTCAAAATACCCAAATCAATGAAGTTATTGGTAAAAATGAAAAATGTGTCTTTTACGGAAAAAACTAAGTGGGCATTTTGGCTAACCAAATAGCAAACTCTGTATCTCACTATATATATTTTATATGTATGTGTACATACATACCTGAACAAGAATACATAGAGAGAACATCATATATAGAAAGGGGAGCTCAAAGCACAGACAATTAGTTGCTTATGAGTTATCAAATAGCCCTTCTCCTTACTAAAATAACCAGACCTTGTTGGATATAAAAGTATGTCCAATTAAGAAAACAACATCTGCAACATTACTTGCAAATAGGCATGGCTATATATGTAATAGCTGGCCAATGAAAAGCAAGCAGAACTGCTGGGTGGAGCTTCCAGGGAAGCATGGTAGAAGCAGCACTAATCAGCTTGGCAAGCCCCTTACCTTTCCTCTTCTCTCTGGTGCACTGACACTATACCTAAAAAAGATCGACCAGCTTGTGATTCTGAAGTGAAAAATCCATGCTGAGGATGGCTCAGTGAAAAGGTAAAGGGAGGTTGTGTTATCGAATTTTGCCAGATTACCTTTGGATTACCAGCTTCCATAATTCTCATAATCAAACTCCAACGTTTTTTCAGCCATTTCTTTTTATTTACAGTTTGCATTCAATGCAAATCAATTCCATCACATGGGAAGTTACTATGAATCAGAGCATAAATACACAAACACAATATGCAACCCAAAATAGATGCACAGCGTTCAGGTATAAACCAAAGGGAATGTCCATTCACATACACGGAGATCTGCTGGGTGTGGTGTTCCCGGGTAGGTTTCTAAAGACAGAAAAAAATGACTTTGGTCATCAAGATTGTCGTGGCCATATTAGATACAGGACTGCCTAAGCCAATGTTTGGAAGTGTCTATTCTTAGCAGGCAAATATAGTTCCTATTGGATGCAAGAGGAATATTGATCTTCACCCTCAAGGCGTTTATAATTTTGCTGACAAAACAAGATAGGCATTTATGTCTGACCTGATTAAACAATGTAGACTTGTATATGGATTGAGCGCTTTACAAACAGTGGAAGTTGTAAATGCTACAGAAGTTCCAAAAAGAAAAAAAAAGTGTGTGCACTGGATGTTTTGAAAAACATTTTCACGAGGAAAGGGCCTGAGCCAGCCCTAAGTCTTGGGGAGATGTTAATAGAGACTTAGGGAGTCGTTTCTAGGCAAGGAGACTAGAAGGAGTCCAGACACAAAGGGAGGAGGAGACGGGGAGCAGCAGCAGTTCGCTCATTGACTGGACCGGGATGCGGGGTAACTGAACATGACTTTGAATAAGGAGGAGGCGAGGTGAGAGCAGCCTTGAAAAATCAGGCTGTGGAATTTGGATTTGTAGGTGGTATGTAGCTGTTAATCATCGTTTCTTTGTGTCTTTTCCTGGCCCCTTGGCTGTTCTGTTAGTCCCCCATTTCTAACTGCCTAGTCGGCTAGCTCCACAAGACTTCTCAGATTATACCATCCCAGGTATAATCTGTGTAAGAATAGAACTCACCGTTTTCCTTCATCAAGAGATCAGTGCTGTTATCAATCATCCAGCCTTCTAGCATACACATTTTGGAGTTATCTTTGACTTATTTTCCTCTCCCAACTCCTATATCCAATGCCACCTAGTCCCAACCATCCTTCCTTCAAAAATGTCCCTTGAATTCATTTCTCTCTATCCATGTCCACCATCACTATCTGGGGTTCTCTTTTAACCCTGTCTCCTGCAAAAGCCCCCCGATAAAGCTCTCTCCTGACAGCTTCTCCCTGCTGTAGTTATCCTATAAATCACTGCAAGAAAAACCTTCCTAAATTACTACTTAAATCACATTACCCCATTCCCCACCTCACACAATCAAGAGCCTTTGTTCCTCTTTAGAACTTACAGATCTTTCCTATTATCGCCACTGGAGCCGTCTACCTTACCTCCCAGCACACAGGGAATGCGCCAGAGTGGTGGTCTTCTGGGCCCCCCAATGGGCCTGCCTCCCTCTGCACTCAGCTTAGTTCCCACTCACTCAGAGTACCTACGGTTTTCCCGTTTTGGTTGTCCAAATATTCTTTATTCTTAATATTTAGGGAGCTATCCTCTTCCTCAAAGAGACATTGACCACCCTTTCTTTGAACTCCCATCCCATTCACAGTGTTATTATGCAATGTATTATTTCTAACTATGTATGTGTTTCAAGTTGGGCAAACAGGCAGATTGCGAGAGTGTACGATCTCTGGAAAGTGGAACCGTTTCCCATCAACTGCGAGGGCTGAGAGACCTCTATGCTTCAGTCCCTGCCAGGGAAAATCCAATTATATAGCCTGCAACAGAGTAGACACTCAACAAACATCTATTCGATTAATCACTTATGAAAGATTTTTTTGATAGTGTGTTAGGCCAATAAAAACAATAAATACTTGTTGAGGGTTTGATGACAATGAACTGATCGAGGTTCAAAAGCGATGACACCATGGACGTATCCTCGAGGGGACTAATCACTCCTGTTGTCGATGCCCATGAAGCCGACTCTGTCAGGGGAGTTTCAGGTGCACTAAAACCAATACAGCCGACCTTAACTGTAAAAACTAAAGGAAGTTTCACTGTTGTGTAGAATTTATTATGGTTTAATGGCCACCGATTATAGTTTGTTTAAACCCCATTTGTGGACAGATTTACCTTGAATTGCTGGGCAATTATCTATACCATGTTCAAATGGCAGTAATTATTTTTAGCTGACAATTGAAAGGCATGGAACTGACCCAGCTGTGCCCATCCAAAATACCTAATAAATCCTGAAAAACTGTATCATCCTTTTTCATTTATCAGATCCACTTGATACCACTTGATATTTTTGTAGTTTTTTGATTCAAAGGAAATGATTCCATTAGCAGGCACAAAGAGAATACTTACTTAAAGGTGAATCTGAGCAAATGGAATTATATCCTTAAAGAAACAGTTCATAATCTTCCTATAAATAATTGATACATTTGCTAATTTCTCAAAAATGGAAAAAATGGCATTCAATCAATAAATATACACCCTTGAAAGTGTATTATTAAATCAACTACATTGCTTTGTTTTAACAGGTCATATGATATATTAGAAAAACTCTAGATAATGTGTTTTAAAAATTTTCCTTTTATCTTGACATCACTAAATGATTGGGAGTATTCACTATTAAGTTCTTTAATGACAATATCCTTTCTCTTACAAATGGCTTTGAAGTCCTCTACCGCCTATTGCAAGTATTTGGATACTTCCCCAGCAAGGGTAGGCAAGAAGCCAACACAAGCCACCAGGTGCCAATATTACACCTGACAAATTAGCCACACGACTGGAAAAGGGTGGGTCCATCCTCCTGTTAGAGGTTCATTTCCTCTCATTTTCTCATGAACAGGAAGTCATTGGAATGGGGAAAAAAAGCTTTCCTTAAAGACCCATATGAGCAAAGGTGTGCACTTATTAACTCTTTGCTAACAAATGACTTGGAAGCAAGTTCAAACTAACCACAAGACTGTATTTACATTGACTTGTTTGACCCTGCTGATAATCTGGGTTTCAGGATGTTGAGATTTAGTTAATGCTCAGGGTGTTCATGGGACAGGTAGGGACGCCCTTGGATGTCATATGGAATCATTGCAGCTGACAGAGGGGCAGACCTGCCTCAGCCCTTGCACAGAACTCAGGAAGCTGAAGATCAAAAGGGTCTTAACAAGGTCCAACCAAAGACATAGGTTAGGGCCAGAACTCTACATAACTGACCCAATTCAGCAAGACTGATTTAAAGAATTTAATCAGAGTTGACTGAGGTTCCATAAAATACTGTGCTCTATTCATATCGTACTCAGTTCAATTATACCCCCTTGAACTAATGACTTGTAACTGTCTCCTAAAGATCAGTTATTCAGCTTGATGAGGGTTAAAGAAAGAATAATACAAGGAATGTTTTCCAGCTGAAAAGTAATTTAAAAAAAGGTATACTTATATTCACCTTAGTGCCATCCCAAGATGCCATCCCAAGAGATTAAAAACTATACAAGATGTCATGTATTTGTAATGCATACATAATTTTTAAAATGCCTCTTGTATATATATGCTTTTTAAAAAGTATTACAAGAATGACACAGTGTACAATGTTCTACAACTTGCTTCTTTCACCTAAGAACATAATACTGGCACCTGTTCTTGATATCTAGACAGTATATTAATTCAATTTAACTGATATAGCCAATCAATTCCCTTAATTTTTTTTGTCAATCTGGTACGTAGAAAATGGCAACTCACATTCTTCCACTTTACATTTCTTTTACCACTAATGAGGTTGAGCGCAGTTTTCTAAATTTAATCTTTATTGTATTTTTTTACATTACCTTTTAGTCCCCCTGTATCCTCCTCCCCCCGGCAGTCACCACATTGTTGTCCACGTCCATGAGCCCTTTCTCCTTTTTGCGCAGTCGCGCCACCCCCTAAATTTCCACCACCACCACTAGCTGTCCTCCTGCCCTCCACCTACAAGACTGTCCCAATTTTCCATTTTAGTTCAGTTTAATCATTAGATTCCACACATGAGTGAAATCATATAGTATTTGTCCTTCTCGGACTGGCTTATTTCACTTAGCATAATGTTCTCCAGGTCCATCTATACTGTTGCAAAGAGTAAAATTTTCTTCTTTTTTATGGTCAAGTAGTAAATGTCCCGTAGTTGTTTTATAGACTCATCTATTGATAGATAACCTGGGCTGCCTCCGTATCTTGGCGATTGTAAATAATGCTGCACCAAATAATAAGGATGCTTATGTTCTTTTGAATTGGTGTTTTTCCTTTGGATGTATTCCCAGAAGTGGGATCACTATGTTAAAAGGCAGATCCATTTTTAATTTTTTGAGGTAATTCCATGCTGCTTTCCACAGTGGTTGCACCATCTGCATTCCCACCAACCATGCAAAAGAGTTTCCTCTTCTCTACGTCCTCCACAGGATAGCCATTCGTACAGGCGTGAGATGGTATCTCACTGTGGTTTTAATTTGCATTTCTCTTGATCATTAGTGAGGTTGAGCACCCTTTCACATGTCTATTGGCCATCTGTACTTCTGCTTTGGAGAGGTGTCTATTCAGGTCCTTTGCCCGTTTTTTAATTGGGTTGTTTGCTTTTTTTGGTGTTGAGTTTTGTAAATTTTGGATATTAAGCCCTAATCAGATGTATTAGCGAATATGTTTTCCCATTCTATGGGCTGCATTTTTATTTTGTTGATGATTTCCTTTGCTGTGCAAAAACTTTTTAGTTTGATATTGTCCCATTTGGTTTTTTTTATTTTAGAAGATTGTGTGTTTCTAAGAATTTATCCATTTCTTCCAGGTCGTCCAGTTTTCTGGCATATAATTGTTCATAATATTTTCTTACAATCTTTTGTATTTCTTTGGTGTCAGTTGTTATTTCTCCTCTTTCATTTCTGATTTTATTTGAGTCCTTTCTCTTTTTTCTTGATGAGTCTGGTTGAAAGTTTGTCAATCTTGTTCATCTTTTCAAAAAAACAAGCTCTTAGATTCATTGATCTTTTATTTTTTTTAGACTCTATTTCATTTATTTCTGCTCTAATCTTTATTATTTCCTTCTACTTACTTTGGGCTTTGTTTGCTGTTCTTTTCAAGTTCCTTTAAGTGTGAAGTTAAGTTATTTATTTGAGCTTTTTCTTGTTTTTTGAGATAGACCTGTACTACTATGAATTTCCCTCTTAGAATTGCTTTCTCAGTGTCCCACAGATTTTAGATTCTTGTATCCTCATTTTCAATTGTTTCA